TAACAATTGCACTTTGATATTATGAATAAAATATAATAATAATAACCAAAATAAAACCTGTAGATAGCACCAGTATCAAATTGGAACAGACATGGTAAATGAAGAAAATAAGAACTGCCACTAACACTGCTAATTACTATTGTAATTTTACAGATACATTGATGTAATGTGTCATGTGTACTCTTTCAGATGTGGGCAAGTACACACAAATCACCCATTGATAAGAATGGAATTTTAGCTACCACCCCATGTAAAGGATTAAACGGTTAACCCAAAGAAAGATGCCTTGTTAATTGCATGGCGTAAACTGTTTACTTCATTGCGTGCATCCTCATGTCACACATAATCCAAAGAATTTACACATGGGGCAAGCTGGCTTTTCAATGCATTTCTCCAATGTACTACCGTTTGCATGTATACATATACTGTATTTAATTACACATTGAAATACATTATGTGTGTATATTTCTGTGTTGAAGTTATCAACATATGTGTTGTCCACTCTTATATTGTCCTATGTGGCACAGCCGACTTGCTAGAGTGTTCAAGTGCACTTTGACTTTGCCAATCAAAATATTTCAAGGATGTGTTTATTTTCTTCTCAAAATCACACCAGCTGCTTCACCAAGTGAATGAGCCCATTTATCCTTAAGAATTTGGCCATTGTAAGGTTGAGCCCAGGGACCGAGAGCTTCCAAATCTGACCTGATATATCTACGGAAATGTCAATGTTTTGGATTGGGAAAGCGGCTAGGTGTGGTATGTATATAAATTAGAAGCCATGTAGAGGTCAAGACTTCTGATTAGTTGTGTCCGTGTTCCTGGTTTATGATGTCTTTTTATATACTTTGCTAACAGTCTGTATTTTCTAACTTCTAGCAGTTCTGCCAAGCATAAGGCTGTCTTCCCCACAATAATACATTCATTAGTGATAGGGAGTCTGTAAAGTAAGAAAAGTATTTAAACACTGATGTCTATACTGACAGAGGGCTCCAGGTTTACGCAGGTGCAAAGAGACCTGTGTTCTATCAACATTGCCTTTTCATCTATTTCAGAACAAGTTTAGAAATAGGGGAAGATTTTCCCACATTTGCAGCATTTACTTGCATTTTTCAGGGCAGTTTTAAAGCTTTCCAGAGGCAAATGCAGAGGTTGAGTACCAGCCAATGCATATGGGAATATTAGGGTAGAATTCTGTGTGCCAAATGTGAAGCAAATATAAATTTGGAGCAAGTTTTGTGCATATTAATTATTATTGAGTCATTCATTCTGATATTAGGTAACATTAGGTGTAGTATAAATACAATGAATGATACTGAGACTTTGATTTCTCTATGAAAAACCTGTAGGGAAATGCAGACAGAAAATGCTTTTTATAAATGTAGTGAATCTTCTGATTGATGTATGTACATTTGGGGCTTTATAAATAGTGTGGGGGAAAGGTGCTGTTGTACATGTATAAGGAGTCTATGGCGTTCTTTCTACTGCAGAAAGGAGTGGGCCTGCATTGCATGTATCATTGGTTCATGGAGTGTTAAGTGTTAATGGTAAAATATAAAATAAACAAAAAAAGAAGGGGCATACCTATTGCCTTGTGCAAGGTAGTAAATCTAAATGCTGAGGAATTTGTATATCCCCCTAGTCCATTCTATTCCCCTCTAAACTCTGATTCTGTTCCTGCTGCTTTGACATGGCTGGAACACAACAGATTAACCCTATGACACATCCTAGAACCTAGATTAAAATCTTTCAGGCATATACCTCTCTAACTTGTTACACAGCAGTGGTACCTCATGCTCTTAAACAATATTGGCAACTTGCTTTGCATGGACCCCACACACAAAAAAATGGGGTTCCCTCCTTCACATTTAAGTTCCCCTTCATATTAGAATGTCCCTTTACATTAGGAGTTGCCTTCACTTAAGGAGCATCGTCCTTTCACATCAGAGTCCCCCCTCTCACACTAGGAGCCCACCTTCACATCAGAGCCCCCCTCCTTTCACACTAGAGTCCTCTTTAACATCAGAAGCCATCCTTCACATCAGGGGCTTTTTAGAACAGAGCCCCCCTTTCACATTAAAACTCCCCTTTTAGATTAGAACCCGCCTTATAAAATCACAGCCCCTTTCACATCAGAGTTCCCACTTTCCATCAGGAACCTGCCTGCCCCATGGAAAGCCATGACATTGTGTGACAATTTGGAGGCACCTCTAAAGAAGGTGGTAGGCACCCCAGGGTGCCAGGGCACCCTGGTTGAGAAAGGCTGGTGTAGAGTGTCAAACAGGAGTCTTTAGTTGTACTTTAAATAAAATAATACTCAAATATATGCATATACAGTATATTTATGAAAGCACACAATAAAATAGACTAATAGGGGACAGAATAAGTTAAGTATATGTATTCCGCACAGGATTTTATGGTTTACATCTTTCTGTCTGTGCTATACATGCCACCTAATCAGTTTCAGAATAGTTAGAATGGTTTGCCAAGAATTTAGATTTAGAATCTGGAAACTTCCAACTCCTGCTGACATTA